ATAATGAAATGAACACCAGCAGACTGACCATCAGGCGGTGTGGCACTGGTCAAAGCAAGTGGAAAAGCTTAAAATTAAGTTAATATACTTTCAGTTCAACTTAACGTGCTGAAAAAAAATATTATAATGAAATGGACACCAGCGGGCTGGACACTCCATTTACTTTGTAATTTATTATAAAAATTATTCAGGATTATCCTATACTTATCCAAAAGCACACCTATGATTGTTCTAGTGCTTTTCGTCTCTAGATATGGAAGAGTGTCGCAATTAGCGTCAAATGCAGATGCTGTTCTAAAATCGATGTCGTACGACATGTTAAAAAAGAATAGTGCCGGACAACACATGCTGGTGATGACCTCTGCTGACCTTTAAAGAAAACACCTCACCTCTTTTTCTCCATGATTGTTCTCGTTGTATAAGGGTATCCGGGCGAGGGCGAGCGGAAGACAGGTGACTGACTCACCATCCTTGCATCTTGTGTAAATTGGAGAGCAGCATCATTACAACATCAAATACGCATGTGTATATATATATATGTATATATATATGAATGTATATGACGATGTGTATTCGTACGCACTCAGATCGCTTTTTCGGTTTTGATTGTGATATACAGAAGTTAGAAAGCTAAAATTTTGCAGTGCGCAGTTTTCGATTCTTTCACTGCTTATTGCGTTTACCTCTTCATTTTTTCCTTCGCCATTGTTTCCTCCTTCCCTCATCTTTGCCGATAAAAAAATCAGGTGGTGATCAAAAACGAGGAGCGCGAATAATTAAAGCAGATCGGTGTCGCATTTATATTCGAACAAAAGAGCGGCGCTTGGTCTTCCGTACTTATCTAGCAGAGTGGTATGGATTGCCCCAGTCAGCGTACGCTTTCCCATTTAGCCAAATATTTGCTTAAATGTGAAATTTCTTTCAAGTTTTCTGTATTCGGCATTAATTTGCAAATGCAGCTTAGCGCTTCTGAGCTGATTTTTGTTCTCTTTCCTCTGTCAGCTCTTCACTGATACAGCTCCATGTTACACTTCTCAGTGCGGTACAAGCGTCTTTCCTAAAGGACAATTTTGCCGCACCGTCTTCGAAGCTAAACTTCCTTTTCAATTGCTCATGTCTCTGTTCGTACACACGTTAGTTAAAGGAGCAAAAATGTGAGGCGGAAAGACTGGAAGAAGGCGTGATTTCAAATACCTGAATCTACGGGACACAGATATAGAAGTTTTGCTTATAATCCTGTCTTTTCTGTGAGGTAGTGTGCATGAAACCCAAAATACCGTTCGAGTTGTGCATGTAGACTCTTTTAAATGAGTCAATATACACTGTACAAATATTTTACTTGCATGTTATACATCTCTTGATTAGTTTTCACTGTGTCCGTACAACTACCTGTGTAGCTCAATTTTTAATGTAGCTCAAAAAAAAAGCCCGCTTACTTTTCCTTTCAATTCCGAAAAACATACGTAAAACAGTTCAGTGCCTCTCACTTGTCAGGGATTAGTGAATGCGATGCATGAATACATGCTAATTCGAATTTGCATGGAGACTGCATGATGCGCATATGTGTCTGTGTATTTGTTGCGCTGACACATAATTCATAGTTCCGCACTGACTTGCCTGCCTCATTTACACTACCGGATTCCATATTACACTAAATCGGGTCACTTCGAGAATTTCAGTATTTTTCAATGAAATCTCTATGTACGGAAATTTGTACGGCCAACAAATTTAGCACTACCTTTTGGGGTTTTTGAAATAAATTTAATTATTTATTTTAAAACCGGTATTGTATAACAGTCATCCAAGAAAAATTACTGCAACTTTTGAATAAATTTGCTGTGTTATGAAGAAAAGGCAAATGCTTTTAATATACTTTAATTACAAATGCGAAATTTAGTGTTTCTCAAAAGGCTCTGCCATGCGCTGAATTTAAGATCAAAACTCAAAACCCCCAACCTTCGTATTTTACCTTTGTGCCTGCCAGAAGCATTCGAAAACAACTCGAATGGTAGTATTCTGCCAGCAGCAGTCATTCACTGGTTTTGCTTGCGAGGGCTGTTTTTTTTGGGACAACTGGGAGCGGTTCTATTTTCCGACGTGTTGGGAACTCTAGTGCCAATTTTGCGTTTGAAACAAAGTGGCTTAATTAAAAAGAATAATTTAACGGGTTCGTATCAGTGGCTTGAAGCCCTTCAGCCATGTATTTTGTGATAGCTCAGTTCTGAGTTAGAAAGCTCGCCTGCTGCTCATGCCAGCTTCTGAGAAGCCTCTACTACTAATCAGAATGTTGCATAAACCGGAGTTGCAAATTTTCTGTGATGCCACTTTTCGGAGTTCCAACTGATTTCAGTACTGCTGGGATACAATCAGGGAACTACTGAACACAGCTCATCCAGGATCTCGTGCTTCACGACGCATCCATTGATTCTTTCGCTGGAAGGGTTCATAATAGTTTTTAGCAACAGGCCAAGTGGCCATCTGCCGATCTGTGCTTTCTTAAAATAAAATAATTTTTTATTTCTAAAGCTTTAAAGAGGCGGTTTGTGACAAAGACGGCTTTTCAAAACGGACATCTGAAAACTTTTATTTGATTTTGTTGACCCGTGAAAAAATCACTTTTTTCTGGGAGAAAAGAACCATTTGCTTCTCCTTTTTAGCAACGATGTTACTGGTGAATGCTTCACCGCACTTACTGATAAGCGACAACGCAAATTACCAGTCGGTAACGTTGTTTATCAGTACTTGATAGCTTTTCTCCTTTTCGCGATCAGAACGATTTCCACCGTTTTGTTTTATGTTCACGGGAAAATTTCTCTCGCATTTTTTGGTCTTTCCTTTGGAACGTCAAAAAATTGCTCTTTAACCGTCGTTTCTTTTTGGTAAACATCCAGAATTCCTACATTTGTGATTTCTCGTCCCGTTTCAGAGGAAATTTGGTCATTATGCTCGTGCATCTCCTCGTATTTCTGCTGTGCTTTGTTCCACTCTCTACTCAGTCGGCTAATCGCTGAAACATTCAAAAATTCTGTTCTGTTTGGTTCTCTGGTTTGCTTTGGTGCACACACTTCACGGATATATTGGTGCGAACCCTGTGGAATTTAAATGCAGATAGTGCCAATAGCACCGGATGATATTCAGATCGAAAAGCGAATCGAGCTACGACGATCGCCAACATTTTTCGTTGCTGCTTTTTTGGTTAGTCGCGAAAAAATTTTATCATGCAACAAAAGGAAACCTTGATTGATTATGAAAAAAATATTCCTAAAAGACGGAAAATTTCATGCCGGAAAGATGGGGTCGGAGGTACTGCATATACTTTATATCGTTTTAAGAATTCTCGCTTGTAAATCCTCGTTTTTTTTCTCTCCCGCTCCCCTTCGCGCATTTTTTGCTGTCTTTCCTCGTCTGTATTCATCCTTGGTTAGTAAACTTTCCCTCATTTTTCCTTAAAAAAACCTTCCCATCGAACAATATGAAACAAAAAAGTGGAGGAAATTACTAAAAAAGTAATATGAGCCAGCAAAAAAATTTTGTTTCTTTTGTGAACGTTTGTAGACATTTCAACTTGTTTCGTCGGGTTGGGAGAGGAAGGGGATGGGAAGAGGAGGTAGGGGAAGATACGGTGGAGAACGTCTTAATAGAAAGCAGAGAATACTTCAAGTGCAAAATCTGCTGGAAAAGCTTGGAAAAAACTCTTCTGTCTCACTCATTGTGAGAGGCATTTTCAATTAAATTAGCAACTTTCTTCGAGTAGCATGAACAAATTTCCGGATCGTTGACCAAAAAAATAAATCCTTTAATTGTGCATCCAAAGTGATTCGGCTCAGAAAAATGTGAAATTGCTATTTACTGCACCTCTGGCATAATCATGAATATTTCCAAAGAAAATCACTATTGCGAGCATAGCGCAGTAGTTTGTGCTGAAAGTCCAGGTTTCGGCTCCAACAGGAGTAACCACTCCTTCTGCGGTTCGTCATTCGTTTCAGCTGTACTGACGCACGACTAGAAGTCAAACCTGCTGTCAGCTTGCTTCTAAGCAATCTTCGGAGGAAGAAATCGGCAGCCCTTTGCTGGCGGAGTTGCTACCACTCGAGCCCTTCCAATTCTCTACTTTTGTTAAAATGCGGGTGCTGTGGGATCTTAGTTGACTTGCTGAGAAATTAGTAAATCCCTGTTAATGAAAAAGTTCATGACACAAAGACTGTCAGGCTTGTCACTATTGTCTTCCAACCTGTACGTCTGTAGACCATGGTTAGTTGTCAGGACAGTTTGTGTTGAGTGTTGTCCCGTCTAGAGTTTTGTTTTTATTCTCGCAGATTCCAGTCAGTGACAGGGGAAGTCAAACGACTTTTAGCAAAATGACAAATTAGTCCCTTCTCAAATCACACGAAATCTTTATGCCTTTTTGAATGGAGTCGTAAAGCAATGCTTTAAGCATTCACGCTCTCATTTTTTCGCATTTTCTGTCCCCACCATCAGTGTTATTTTCGCCACTTTTTAATACAGTGATATTGGAAAGGTGAGTGGGCGCGGTCCTTTCGGCCCACCACTTGTTGCCGTGAAATTTGCGCCAGCCGGCGGTCCTGCTATGGCAAAGCCCGTCCAGGAAGTCAGTCCGGTACACAGCAGATTCAGCACGCCCCTTTTAATCTTTTTGCACTGAAAAGTACACTATGTCCTAATTGTTCGTCTGCGAAATGAAGCTGTTTCCATTCTGCAGCGCGGTGTCGCAGACACATTACAGAAATTTAATAAGTTCCGCCGACGTCATAGACTACTACAGGCTCACTCGCCATCAGTTACACTAATTAAGGAAAAAATTGTGAGGGACTGTCGGAACTGTTGATGTGGAAACAGATCTATGTGGATTAGCGGCTAGGTGAGGCGAGCGATAGGGAGACTGGTGAGAAGGTGGTGTGCATTAATGGAAATAGCTGAGTTGTTCAAAAATAGGAAGACAGTGATATGAATTTATCAGTCGTGCGATGAGAGTTTTTTGAAAAGACAATTATGGAGGTTTTTTAAAAAAACTTCTTAAAAACGCTTTTTTCTCAGACAAAAAAAGCATCCCACTGCTAACAAATCCTAGCAAATTTAAAAGAAAGCATTAAATACAACAAACATTAAAGCGGCTTCCTCTCTTCACAGTCCTTTGCATGGTGAATTCTCTCGGTACGATAAGTCTCTGCTTCTCTCGAAAATTAGTCGTCTTTAAATGGTCTAATTACTTTGATATTTTGCTAGAAATGGCCGGTAGGCATGGTGCCGTGAGAAGTAGCATCACTGTCATATAGCAGGATAAAGAATTGGCTCCGTTAGTAGGATAACCAATCTTCCTTCTGTGACCTGTTTATTCGTCTCGATGGTGAATTCGTACTGGCATATGCCAAAGTCAAACCGGCCATTAATATCTCTGCTACTGGCAGCGGTAAAAATCAGAGCTTTTAAGCCCAGCTAATTGATGCTAGATATCCGCATTTTAGCTCTGTCCCCTCTGTTTCCATCATCTGTTTTTACTTTCTTTTCCTCCCGACCTCCTTCCTCCCGTCCCCTCCTCCCCCAACTCTCTTCTCCCCCTCCGCTTTACCCCCAACCGGTTCCTTCTAAATAACTCAAAATATTCGCTTTACAGGAAGCAGGGGAAAAAGTATAGCTTTGATGAAACCGAAGGTACCGTTAAAACGTAGACACGGCCAGTTAGACCTTAATGCCTGATTCAATTTTCAAAACTTTTAAGGACAGAAATTTTCTGATTGCCATATTCAGTTTAATGAATTTCAGCAAATCTAGACCACACTATTCTCTGTAATTTCAGGGCTTCGCATGGCTGGCAAATGAATTGGCTCTGGCGTGGATCCATGAACGAGTACCACGCGATGGCGCTCGCCCACTCCCTGATCTATGGTTTAGCGTTTTTCCAGAGGTGAGGAAAATTTTTGAAACAATCTCAAATTCATGCATTAAAACTCTCTCTTATTTCATTTAGATACTGAGGTACCACAGTATTAGCACAAGCGAGGAGCAACTACTCGCCAAAAAATCCTTTCTTTCGAAGGTTGCCTTGGTGAATGTGCATAATTAATTAGAATTTAATAATTACTAATTATGAAAATGCAGTTGAATTGTCTTGGGAGTGAAGTAATCTCAAACAAAAAATCACCCGAAACAGTAGCAAGTTCTGACAAGATCAAAAAATTAAGAATATAACTAATTATACTAAGAACACTGAGTATAATCAATTTGAGTATTCCATATTAGTGGTGTTACCAAGTGCTCCTATGAAGCTGTGCCTGGCGTTTCGATTTTGGGCTTACAAGACACAGGTTTAAAATAAAAACTGAAACTAAGCTTCCTGAAAAGGGAGATTACTTGCTACATGCAAATAACCATAGCAGTATTACTCGGGAAGGAGTCTTACTCAAATACACCGAGGGACGCAAACAGAATAAAGCGCGAAAAAGTGGCGCTATTCTGATCAACACTTATTTTGCATAATTTTGCTAGGATTATTTACAGATAACAAGTGCAATACGTGTAGCCGAACTGATAATGGTTGTGATTGTGGCCAATGCATTCTTCGTGATGTTCTGCCATCAGTATCGGTGGATCGTTGTTCGGAGGGTTTTCTTTTGCGCCGCGCTGTGCTACACATTCCGTGCTTTCTGTATTACTATTTTTCAAGTCAGTTTTTTTTTAAATTTGTTAGGGATTTTTAAGAAAATTAATACAGGATGTCTCGAAAATTACAGCAGGATATCACAAAACAGCTAAAACCTTGCCAAGTGCTTTGGTGGAGAGAAGCTTGAGTTATTTTTTCAAAAAACAGAAACAAGCGATAGGACTACTTCGCTGACATCTCTAGCGTCTCGTGTGTTTGCTAACTGTTCACCAGTGGTGCAGCACTGGTCAGTATCAGCTGCAGAGTTGAAGAACCAGGCCTAGAATTACAGCTAATCCGTATTCAGCCAAGTATTCTGAAAATCAGTCAAGTCCAAAAAAAACAGGATACTCCACTCACTTCGCTGACATCCCTAGCGTGTCGTGTGTCGCCGTCGTGCAGGATGCATGAACAGCTTCAGAAGAGTTGGCACGTGTGTGTACAGGCAGCGGACACCAACAAAGACGTCGGGTGCCAAAAATTCACGATAGCAAGTCCTTTGCCCAACTTTTTGACTTATTGCAATAACCTCTACGCTGCTTGGTTGGTCTCGGTGACCATCTGTGTTTAAGAAAGGGCCAAAAAATTCTGGGTTCCAATCTTCTGAAGACATTAACCTTAACTTTAATTTCATGGCAAACTACAAAAACCTTACGGCGCACCAGAAATGTAAAATTCAAGAAGTGAGTAATGAGTGGCATTCTTTGTTGTTTTCAGGTCCCAGTACCAAGTGAGAAGACATTTTGCGCCCCGAAAAGTGACGGTAGCCTGAAAATAGTTGTCGACCGGGTTCTGAGGACATTCTGGTCAGCGGGTATTGAGCAGATTCGGTCAAGGTGAGTCTGACCAATCCGTAAAAAATAATGGCTTGATTAAAAAATTTTTGAGTTGAAGGGTGGGGAGTGGGGGGGG